GGTAGCCTAGTTTCTGTTTCTGATGTTGTTTCTCTTGCTAAATGAATGTTGCTAGGCTGCTATGTGGCTCCATCTGTTTCCCTGATTGGAAAAAAAATAACCAGTATTTGCTGTTCAACATCCTTTTTTCCAGTTTGCAGGTGAATTTGATTTGGGGCCGATCTGGAACTTATTGAATTGTATGAGTAATCTTGAAATTGCTCTTGTTTTATTCTGACACAGTGAGTTATGTGATTTATACGGCCTCATTACCAGCAGAGTTTAATACTGGACTTTTGCAGTACTTTTTTTCCTTTTTATTCATACTGAACAGCATGTGTTTCTGGAACTGCTGATTTCTAGGGTAATTCATCCTGTCTGCAAAGTAGCTTTTTTCCTTAAATCAGAGAATTTAGTATAAAGTATCCCTTCTCCAGTTTGTTTCTTATTCCATGTATACAGAGATGAATAGAATAAAAATAGTTTATTTTTTTGTGCTGAAGTCTAGAAGGAAAACTCTCTTTCACTTCCATTTAGTTTAGTATTTTGTTCTCACAGTGGCCAACCTGATGCCCGGTGATATTATTAGGAAAGCAAGCACTGTTTGATCGAAGAGCAGATCTTGTTGACACGATGGGGCAAGAAGAACGGAACAGCCCTGAACAATGCTCACCATACCGATGGGCTGATTTTGTCATCTTATTGCAGTCCGTCTAAGCCTGTTTGGTGATGCAGAAGAGCAGGAAGTGCAGAACGAAATGACATTCGGGTATCTGCTATTTAGGTTTGCTCAAGACTTCTCAGATCCTCAACTCAGCATTTTTACGCATTTATCATAAATATGATTTATCCCTTTCCAAACCTCACCTTTTAATGCCTGCTGTTGTCAGGCGTTGCCAGGAACGGATAAGACACGGAAAAGTTCTTACCATCTGCCTTTTATTCAATATTTACAGAGAGAGCCGTGGGACTGCCTCTTGGAATAATGGTGTTGCCTCGATTAAATCTCCCCTTCCCTTCTCTCCCACTTTCTCATTCGTCATCCCTTCTACAGGTGGCGCTGTGGGCCCTTTGCGTCTGGGCCCTTTGCGTCTGGGCCCTTTGCTCTCCTGTTTTTAAGGCTCGCCGGGTTCTGGGAGATGGAGCGTCTGGAATGCCTTCTAGTGATAATGTGTCAGCCAGCTGCTCCTCCTCTGCCTCCTCCTCCTCTCCCATTATTTCCCAGCTTTCCCCCTCATCTACCTCTGAGCTGTGATCTCCCTCAAAACCCTGTTGTAATTCTGAACTGTCTTCTTCTTCTCTGGAAGGGTCAGGCTGGGGAGGTGGTCTCCATCATTCCTCCTCTGCCCAGTCCCTGACAGCTGTTGAGACAGCCCTCAGGCAGAAGTGCATGCTGACTAGGCAGGTCATTGTTCTGATCTAGAACGGCTCTTCTTGGCCTCTGAGCTTGAATAGCCTGTGTGCATGAAACATGGTCTCTGGAAGCCACTGTGAGAAATGGGCATGGGACTTTCATACTAGATAAAGGCTGGAAACATTGCCATGTGCCTACAGATATTATTTATATTTTGCTCTTTCCCAAATGCTCTTGGCTGTATTCAACATAGCAATAAGCAGATGGTTCCATAATTGCAAGGATTTCTCCTTGTGCAACACAACATTCTCCTTTCCTTTACTGGCGCCAACCCTAAATCTGTTCTAGAGATTCCCCAACCCTCCAGAGCAGATTTGGGGATTGTACACATAAGGGGAAGAAATCTCATCATGGTAGCATTGAAACAGCAAAACTGTTTAGTGGTGTACGCCAGTGTTTAGAATTCTACATTTTGTTTAATTTTTTAAATGACAATTTGAATGAGTCCCTTCCCAAAATATTTCATGAATGCTCACAAAATACCAACAGAACTATGGGCTTATCCAAACTTCTGTTTGCCCCATAGCTTTTCTTGGAGAAAACCTGCTCTTTATCATTGTTGTTGTTTAGTCGTTTAGTCGTGTCCGACTCTTCATGACCCCATGGACCAGAGCACACCAGGCACTCCTGTCTTCCACTGCCTCCCGCTGTTTGGTCAAACTCATGCTGGTAGCTTCGAGAACACTATCCAACCATCTCGTCCTCTGTTGTACCCTTCTCCTTGTGCCCTCCATCTTTCCCAACATCAGGGTCTTTTCCAGGGAGTCTTCTCTTCTCATGAGGTGGCCAAAGTATTGGAGCCTCAGCTTCACAGTCTGTCCTTCCAGTGAGCACTCAGGGCTGATTTCCTTAAGAATGGATAGGTTTGATCTACTTGCAGTCCATGGGACTCTCAAGAGTCTCCTCCGGCACCATAATTCAAAATTCTTTATCATTAAATCAGAGCAAATGTCAAGTGGGTTTTCTATGGATTAGCATTTGTTCCGATTCAGCAGTAAAGAGTGGGTTTTCCCAGGGAAAGCTGTGGGGCAGATGGAAACCACTCCGACCCATGGTCAGAAAGCATAGGGCAAACAGAAAACCTCTCAAACCCTTGCTTTCTAGGCATGAGACAAGTGGAAGTGTGAATGACTCCTATGACAGTCTTTTAGCTACTGATAGTTTATCATAGAACTGTTTAAACTTCCTGTTTACACCCTTCACCATTTCCAATCCTGCCACTTGCACCAGCAGGTATTAATTGGCTTGCTGATATTGCTTACCTCCAAATTATTTTTCTTCGACAAAGAGGAAGGGGTGGAATTATCCTGAATACAGAACTGGGCAAACTATTTCCTTTTCCATGCCAAGCTAAAGCAAGTGGCAGGGAAGTATCCATTTTTAGAATGCATTGCAGAGGGTTGGATTAGATGCCTCTTGGGGTCCCTACCAGTTCTATGATTCGATGATCTTTTCCCCTTATTATTTTTTTAAAACTCCTACTCACTCTGCTGAGGCTCACAGGAGACTTGCTTCAGGCGCCATCTTCTAACCGGAAGTCCGATCCTTTCCACATATCCCTCAGCAAGTGGTGATGGTGGAAATTCTGAATCAGGATCCAGTGAAAGTCTGTTTTCATAAATTTATCTCGACTAAATTGCTTTAAAGTCATGTGATTAATTAACTAATATTGTTTGGGCCACGATAATAATGCTGAATAGCCATATCACAAACTTTGTTGTAAAATTATTATCTCTAGCGACTTCTGCAGTTAACAAGAGGGAAATGCAAAGCTGAATAATAGTCTTGTGCAAACCTATGTATCTGTATAAATTGCCATTTTATTGATCTTTCTGAGGCTCAAGTACTATTTAAAATATAAATAATACTTATGAATATGGAATTTAAACCAGTTTTTCTCTTATTACAACTCCCAAGACTTGCAAAGATTGCTAAAATATAACAGAGCAATAATTAAACTTTAAACATTTTCTTTTAAATATATTTCCTCCATGTCTTTGACATTTTAATAAACTCTGATTTAACTTCAGCTTTTTCTACTCACATATTTCCCTAATAGATTTACCCATGGAAGAGAAGGTCAAACAGTGTGAGTTTATCCTATTCTCAGGTGAAAGGGGTATCATTAATTATGATCTATCTTAACTAACAGTACTATGCAGTACTAAAAAGAACAGTTCATTACTATACAGGTCTACTCAGAAGTCAGACCCACTGGATTCAATGGGACTTGTTCTCAGATCAGTGTGCCGGGATTTCTGCATGGTCAACAGTAAAATGCAGTCCAAACTTGTTTTAATGTTGTGAACTTTAAGGCAATCTTCTCCAACTTTAGCCATTATGATGTGAACTAAGTATTTTTCAGATCTATGGATTGGAATTGGAAAGAAAAGCATAGGCTTCACTCTCTTCCCTTAAAATCAGTAGGACTTGAAGTTTGGTTTCTTTTAATATTTTTTCCTTTTTAAAAGCCTTTAAAAAACTGTCTCTAGTTCTGATGGGAGGGTAAAGGAAATTTATAAGATTTTGGAAAGCAAGAATAAAGTAAATCATCTAACCATCAATTCCAGCACGCAGAGGGCCACCTAAATTGTATAATTTGGCTTTTGAATGATTGGCATTATTAATGGTATTATAACTAGGCATTGTTATAATGAGGCTTTTATTGGATTATTGTAACTGAAAACTAATAAATTATTATTATTATTATTATTATTATTATTATTATTATTATTAAAAACTGCCTCTAAAGGTAAAGGGACCCCTGACCATTAGGTCCAGTCGTGACCGACTCTGGGGTTGCGGCGCTCATCTCGCTTTATTGGCCGAGGGAGCCGGCATACAGCTTCCGGGTCATGTGGCCAGCATGACTAAGCCACTTCTGGTGAACCAGAGCAGCGCCCGGAAATGCCGTTTACCTTCCAGCCAGAGCCTATTTATTTACTTGCACTTTGACATGCTAGGTTGGCAGGAGCTGGGACCGAGCAATGGGAGCTCACCCCGTCACGGGGATTCGAACTGCCGACCTTCTGATCAGCAAGTCCTAGGCTCTGTGGTTTAACCCACAGCGCCACCCGTGTCCCAAAGCTGCCTCTAGTTCTTTGCAAACATAGACTTTAGAAAAGAGATGAAAATATGAAGAAGGTTGGTGAAAAGCATAACTAATGCTGGGAAAGGGCTGGAACCACTGATAGTGATCGGGCTCAATGCTCATTCCATTGCCTGTATAGCACCCCACCCCACAGGTGAGTTCATCTCATTCAGCAATTCAGTGCTGCGTAGAAGAGTTAATCCCCTTTTTCTAGCAGCAGGGCCTTTTCAGTAATGGCACCTATCCTCTGGAATGCCCCTCTAAGTGAGAGCTGCCACTCCACAACATTGTGTTCCTTCAGGTGCTTGACTAAAATCCAGCTGCCTAAATGCCATGGGCTGATTGTTTTTCATTTGGGATGTGTTTTAATGCTGTCCCCCCACCGAACTCTGAAATGGAGTGGTGAATGCCATAATGACGCCCGGAAAGCAAAAGTTGTTGGGTGAACCAGAAAAACATGAGAAGAAAAAGAGTGTGATTCTTTAGCAGAAGTATTTACAGCCAAAAACTTAGAGGTAATTTGGAAGAGCAGGCTTCATTGCATTTTTATTGCCATTTGATTTGAGGTGGGTTGGTGTGTTTTTTAACCTGCACACAAAGCAGGTACGTCTTAATTACACTCTGCTTCAGGAACCAAATTAATTTTAGCATCTGTTTTCTTGCATATCATAGAAACATGATGGCTTTAATTTGCCGTATAACTCATCTCTTGCATCCTCTGAAGTACCTTCCATTGCTGTTGTTAGAGTTACTTTGGTGCTTGAGCTGCGTCTAGCTTGTTTATGAAAAATACACACAAAAGTAAATGTGATAGTGCCCTGTAGGGAGAAGTAAAAAAAAGAGAGACCAAGTAGCAGGAACTCAATTAAAAAGTAATATTGATATAAACAGATACAAGAGATACAAGCTGAGGCCGCAGAGTAATTACATGCAAAGGCCGTGATGTGAACAATAATCCAATTCACCAAACAATACAGGACATGCAGACAATGAAACATTTCATCAAACAATACAGGATGAGATCTTCAGACACAAATGGAAGAATATGTATAGGTGCCAGCTATTAACTCCTTATTGCCTCAATTTTTCTTTCCAGATTTTTTTTTTCTTCCTTGCAGGGAAATGGCATAACTGTGAATCCTAAAAGCATATTATTGAAAATATTGAATAATATTTGAGTATTCAGTATGAGACAGCAGTCAATAATATAATTAAAATAGCTGTTGAAATTCTGTTAGTGCTTCTTAACACTGAAAAATACAAAATTAGCAATATGAAAGATTCTATTTTCTAAGAAGATATATCTTCTGTTACTGCATGGAGAACTTACAGTCTGCCAGGGTTGGTGGGAGCTGAAAAGCAACACCCTCTAGTCTAGAGCAGTGTTACCCAGCCTTGGGTCTCCAGCTGTTTTTGAACTACAATTCCCATCATCCCTGACCACTGGTCTTGCTAGTTAGGGATGATGGGAGTTGTAGTCCAACAACAGTTGGAGACCCAAGGTTTGGAAACACTTCTCTAGAGGGTCTACTGTGCTGCTAAAATGACCATACCTTGAATCAGTCACTGACCAGTCATTTGCAGGTTTAGGGCAATCACTTTGCGATCTCTTTCTGAATATGGCATCTACATGTCTTGGGAGAACAGAAAATTCTCTCCTCCACTGCACCACGAGCATATAATGATGGGTGGTCATGATGAAAATATTGGTGAACATTTTCCTATCTCTCTCTGGGCATGCCACTATAAGTGTTTCCTGGTTTATGGATTTAATAGGCATTCTTCTGGAGAATCCTGGGAATTGTAATTTGCTGTGGTGAAGAGAATTGCTTCCCAGTTACCCTCATCACCTCACAAATGGTAGTTTCCTGACTTTTCTGAGATTGAATGACATAAAATAATGTATTTCTCTATTTTAAAATGTGAGGGACTTGTCGTGACATTTTTTAAAAAAAATAAATAAAGCACCATGCACATTGCTGAAGTGGAATATGAAGGGATCCAAGAGCATTAGAAGAATAGTTGGCATCTTTATGAGCTGAGCTAATATTCTGCTCAACTTCTTGAGAATGTCAGTGTTTAACTACCAAGAACACAACTGCTCTAAAGTTTGCTCTAAAGCAGGAATAAACCTTAAGAACTAATGAATGTATATTACTGAAACCATATGGACTCTATCAAATGACAAAAGAACCCAATTAAGATTAATTTTGCTACATCTGAGCAGAAGTAAATTAATCTTCTCTCCCTCCCTTACCAGCAAATGTGATCCAGATGGTTTCAACATGCCTGCTCACTCTGCCTGTCTCGGTGTAGTATTTTACAAAACCAAAAGCCCATTTTCATTTCTCATCTCTCATTTTCCACTTTGAACGCTTGCACTTTTACTATTTGTGCTGATTACTATTTCTCCTTTTCTCACTGCCTGTATTTTGATCAGCTTAAGAGGATCTCAATACTTTACATAAAATTTTACATACTGTGCCGTTGACAGTTCATGAATAGTCTACAAGTGGGAGCTGCAAAAAAACCCAAAACACACACATCACCCTTTGCAATGCGGCGCACATCTGCTCATTGTCTCAGCCAACCAGTCAAGCCTTCTCTCGGGATACTCCATTCCAGCATGCTGTTTATGTGGGGTGAAGGCCCAGACATCTCTGTAAGGATGCCCCATCCAAATAAGACTGCATGTATAAACCTTTCTAAGTGTTCTTGCTAAAATTCAGTGGCGTAGTGTGGGGGGTGCAGGGGGGGCCGGCCGTACCAGGTGCAACATCTGGGAGGGGCGTCCTCGCACTCGCAGCTCTCTGCCTCTACCTGGCTCACTCACTCTCTCTCATTGCAGTGCTGGCTGTGCGAATCCGATCCGAGCCGCTGGGTCGCCGCCCACTGTGGAGGGGGTGGGTGCCAGGCGTGCGGTGCGGAGAGAGAGCAAGGGACTATCTGGGGGAGGGACAGTGCAGCGGCCGCCCAGCGCAGCGCTGAGCATGGGAGAGAACCACACCAGCCCAGCCCAGGCAGCAGCAAGAAGAAGCTGGCAGCGGCGGCAAGTTAGGGGTTAGGGGGCGCAAATTACTTGCCTTGCCCCGGGTCAGGGGGCGCAAATTACTTGACTTGCCCCGGGTGCTGACAACCCACGCTATGCCGCTGCTAAAATTGCACAGTCAAAACCTAGACACAGTCTAGGAATACGCTGTATGATTTTATGAATGCATGGTTGTATTTAATGGGATTGTCCCCACATGGATGAATAAGTGAGGACTGCGTGCAGACAGACTAGAGATGTCAGGGGAACAACAACTGAAAAGGACCATTGCTTGTGGACTTTCTATAAATATACCAGTAGTGTGCAATCGGTGGACTAGGGGGTCTAGGGTAGTCCCCTAAATGTGCCCTTGGCACCTCCTCCCCAAAGTCCAGGAAGCTTCTGCCTTGCATACGGCCCTCGTATTTACTGGACCGCCTCTCCTGGTATTCCCCACAGAGGACCTTAAGGTCCGTGAATAATCATAGTTTAGAGGTCCCGGGCCCTAAGGAAGTCAGATTATCCTCCACCAGGGCCAGGGCCTTCTCAGTGATGGCTCCGACCTGGTGGAATGCTCTGTCCCATGAGACCAGGGCCCTGCAGGATTTAACTTCCTTCTGCAGGGTCTGTAAGACAGAACTATTCCGCCTGGCTTTCAATTTGAACTTAGCCTGATCTTTTATTCCCCTTCCTTCCCTCCCCCTCCCCTTTTTATGAAGATTACCCGCTCTGGGATCCCACAGCTAATTCTCCCCTGGTCTCCTCGCTGGCCCAAATAGGACTAGATGAGCCAGCTTGCCCTGGTGATCATCTAATGTTTATTGGATGGATTTCCCTCCTAAATTGATTTTTGAATTCTGAATTTATTGTTATTCACATTTTATACTGTATTTTATGCTGTTTTTTGTTGCATCAATTAAGTGTTTTAAATTTGTTGTTAGCCGCCCTAAGCCCGGTTTTCTGAACCGGGAAGGGTGGGGTATAAATAAAAATTTATTTGTTTGTTTATTATTATTATTATTATTATTATTATTATTAGGAGGGAGGTGTGATGCTCTGATGGGTCCAAGACCCCTCCCATCAGCTTCCCAAAACCCACCTAGCTTTGGGAAGGAGGCAGGAGGGCTCCAGCAGTGTGATGTTTACCCGTACAACGTCACAGATACACACCCATTGCCCTCACAAGCTGGAGACTCTGGCCCTAACTGTTCCCCTATGAAAATTTTCAATACACACCACTGAAATATACAGATAGACACAAGACAGGCCTATCTAGGACCTCCTCGTATAACACACGTTTTACAGCTGAGCTCCCACTCTCCCCCAATGAACTTACACAACAAACTTTGACTTTCTAGACCCCCTCAAGCAGCAAAGGAATGAAGTGAAGGCAGTGGGGAATCTTGAAGTGCAATGATATGTGTGTGTCTGTACTCTCCTTAGGCCCACGTGAGTGTGCATGAACCTTGGATTTGTTTATTTTTATTTGTCAACAGCTTAACATGCTCAAGCTCAAAAGAGCATGCACTATAATGACTGATATATTTACCCCATCTTTTCAACACCCTGCTGTATGAGACTCTGCACGTATTTGTTATTGCAGCTGATTGAAAGGGATTTAACGTTCTTATTGAAAACAAACATGTTTGTCAAATTTCTTTCTTTTGCTAAATGACAGTGATCATCCCCTTGTTAAATTGAATTTGACAGTGTAAATAGAGTTTTGAGTTATGGTCTAATTTTCCAAACAATTGGCACCATAACTCATATGTGTAGCCAGGGATGGGGAGATACATTTGTGGAAATTTATGCCTTGGGTGCCAATATAATTTGAATGGCCTTGGGTGCTACATTATTTGGTGGAATGCCATTTGCTGTTTTGCCTCAGGCAGCAAAATACGTTTGACCAGCCTGGGCAGGTCTGCCATTAGTGAAGTATAGGACCCAGGGCAGGGATTGTTTGAGGTTCCCAACTCTTACATCTCCATGAATCCCACATATAGGAAGCATCGTTAGAGAGACTGTGTGATTAGGCGTGTACCAATCATTTTCAAGTTGCAGGAAGAGGGAGATGATAGCGACATCCCTCATTCCTTCATCAGGCTCAGTGTGCAAATCTAAATAGTAGATATGCTTTTATTATCTCTCTGATTTCCTATTTCTTTGTTTTCCAGCCACTCTCCTTCCACTCCAACTGCCACTCATTCTAACTCCACCCAATGTTCCATTCCACTGCCGGTTATTCTTCTACTTGCTCTTCCACTGTGTTGTTGAAATTGATGCACAGAGAAACATGGACCTGGCAGACTGTGCTCTTATCCCACTCTCATTCCTCTTAATGCAGCCTATGCTGAAGTCAATGGCCCTGTGGTCTAAACCACGGAGCCTCAAGGACTTGCCGATCGGAAGGTCAGTGGTTCAAATCCCTACGATGGGGTGAGCTCCCGTTCCTCTGTCCCAGGCTCCTGCCAACTTAGCAGTTCAAAAGCAAGCCAGTGCAAGTAGATAAATGGGTACCACTGTGGCAGGAAGGTAAATGGCATTTCCATGCGCTCCGGTTTCCGTCACAGTGTTCTGTTGCGTGTTGAGTCCCACAATGCCACCCCCAAAAAAATTCACACTTCACACATCAATTTTTGTTTAAGGTTTTTGGCATAATTTTGGCCACAACTTTATTCAAAATACAAAAAATGTGAGTGGTTGCTTAGGCATTGGTTATGACTATCTGTCCTTGCCCTCAGGGACAGAGCTGGCCTTCCGGACACCAACGGAAGCCAGCGTGGGAAACAAGTATTGGGTGAGAAAATGAAGCTGGGTATCAGTCCCTCACTTCTCACCCTCATGTTCCTGTGGGGCTTGCACGGCCCAAGTCCGATTCCAGGGACAAGGACGAAAAGAATGGCAAGCCCCTGGATTCCTTTAACGGAATTCCCTTTCCGCATCATTTGGAGGGATAGGCACTTACCCCTCCAAGCACCAATTTAACCAATGCCTAACCGCCAACCTTACAAGTTGTGACGATTTGCTACGCAGTAGGCAAAAACCAAATGGCACCAGCCAATCAGCCAGATGGCAAAATTCCTACCAGGCCCCCGCTCCAAGGCGGACGACCCCATGACAGGCATAGCAAGGTCAAGCGATCAAGAAAAAACCACCCTATTAAAGGGAGGGAGGGCGGGTGATCCGGTGCAAACGGCCAAGAGGACGTCCAACGTCTGGCCCCTGTATTTAAAGACTCTGACCCCTCCTCCAAATTGGCAACAATCAAAACTCCCCAGCAACCCAATTTTAACCACTTAAAGGCTTGGGTTCCTCACAAAATCTGCCCAGTAACGGCAGGGTGGCTTGTTCCCTCAACCGCAACACGTGCTCTCTGTTAGGGAGAACACGCTTTGCACCAGAAGCAGTTTAGTTATGCTGGCCGCATGACCCGGAAAGCTGTCTGTGGACAAACACTGGCTCCCTTAGTCTGAAAGCGAGATGAGCTCCACAACCCCATAGTCACCTTTGACTGGTCTTAACCGTCCAGGGGTCCTTTACCTTTTTACCTTACCCAGTGTCAGTCCCACTCAGAGTAAACCAATCAAAATTAACAGACCTAAATGAGTCGTGCTCATTAATTTCTGTGGGACTGAAATTGGACACAACCCAATATGGGGGCTATGATGCCTTTTGGCTCATGTAAGCAGAGGCATACCTAGGCTCCCATGTGCCCCTGGCAAGGAGATGTATTGATGCCCCCTCATCCCTTGTGCCCTTGGCAAAAAGCTGTATCAGCACTTCCAAAGTGGAAAGAGACCATGGACCAGAAACACACAAAAAATGCTTTTCAGTGCTGAGAGGAGCCTTTTTGACCCGCCCACCTGCAAGTGTGTGAATGGGCAGGCAGGTTCCTAGCCACTCCAAGCCAGAGTGGAGAAGCATAATTTTTGCACATCCCTTCTTTAGGCCTGTACCCTTGGCCAACCCATAGGTACACCCCTGCATATAGGAGGAGGAAGTGGCGGAAGTTTACCTCCATTGCTCTCATTTCTCTAAAAAATATAATAAGGCTTAATCTTCTGGAATATTCTCAGGAGAGCAAAAATGCTAAATTGCTAGGCTTTTGAGATTTGATTTATATCTCTCATGCCTTCCCAGTTTCATCCTGATGACTTTAACCTGTCTTATTCATCATTTTTGCATGCACTGTATTAGCTTAGTAGAAATCAAGGTAATAAGGGTGGCCTGCTTTCTGATACCAAAAGATAACCCCCCTTTTTAAATAAAAAATAAAAAATAAAGTATTACATTTGACTCAGGAAATAGCTAAAACCAAAGGTCTGTGGCAGAGAGAATGTGTGAATTATAGTGCAGCCTTGGCTGCAAGGTTTGTTTATTCTTGTCATGCTGTCTGGCAGGCTGTAGGAAGGAATTCTCTGCTCTCCTGAAGAAGAGGCAGAGAATAATATAGAAAAGTCACACACTGAGAGACACACTTGGGATGAAATATCAGTGACATAAAACTCACTTTTGAAGCTAACAATGGGGTGAGTAATGTATTTGCTCTTTGCTGCATATTGTCTTTTACTCCAGTAATTTTTCTTTCCTTTCCATTATTTCTTTCCTGTTTTACATTGCAGAGGCAGCTGACAAATATAAACACTCGAGCAGTACAACAGTGTCAAAGATGATGCAGAGAGCTAGGCATTTACAGAAATCTACTTCGGCTTGGAGTTTTTCAAGCGGTGAGGTGCTACTGAGGTGCAGGACATCGCATGGACAGGCAGAGTCTCCCAAACCCTGGGCGGCCCCGTGTGGAATAATGACTCAAGACAACATGCTATGGGATTAAATTGGCCACAACTTTATTACCGTATGTTTCAGATGTGGGTAGACCTTGGCTCAGGCATTGGGCGTTTATCCGTCCCAGTCCCCCGCCAGGGATCTGGGGAACATCAGGGTTATCCAGAGTGTGGGGGGACATGGGCTGGCTCTGGAGAACATATGTTCAAGCAAAGAGAGCCTGCCCCCTGTTACGCCGCTGTCGCAGGAGAGAGCAATGACAACCTCTAGGCATACAGCCAAAGCCTCCCCTCAAAACAACCCCTTTAACAGGAAACCCTGGTATCGCTGCTGCAATAAGGAAGGAGGCATGGGTCACCGCTGCACACCCTCCCCCATTTAGAGAAGATAGACTAAAGGATTCCACCCAAGGCCTGATACCGCCAAAGTTGTGATGTTCTGCTACGGGAAAGGCAAACCTGCCAATGCAGGAGAATTCCTTTCCAACCCTTCAACAGCGACCTTGACGTAGTAGCACCCACATACCTGTGGAGAAAAGGTTAACCTGCAAAAGAAGACTTAACTGAGGGGGGTATGGTGGGAGAAGCTCTGGAGCCAACTGACGATTCCCAGGTAAGATCCTCCCCCTATTGTGTGGGCAGGTGGTCCCTCCCCCTACCTGGCCTGATCACCTTGGCAGGAGTTGATCATGGTGAGGGTTTGCCAAGCGTGCCTTCCTCTAAGCGTGTTTCTCCCTTTCGTCCTGTGTTCGAGCATCTTCAAAACCCATGACACCTTTGGTAAAGGCTGTTCTCCAATTGGAGCACTCGCAGGCCAGTGTTTCCCAGTTGTCCGTGTTTATACTACATTTTTTGAAGATTTGTCTTGAGAGAGTCTTTGAACCTCCTTTGTTGACATGGGCAGAAGCAGGGTGAATGCTGAATCCGACCTTAGACTCAAGCTGACAAATATTACACTGAGCATTGGAGGACTTTGTTTAACACAACTTCATGCCGACAGCTGTGCAAGGAGACTTAGGTGAACTCAAAGGGCATTGAACGTTTTTATGGAAATTTTCTTTCCTGATCACATCCGAAGCCTTAACCAAAGCCATTTTGGTGAAGAGAGACTGCTTGTTCTCTGCATGTTTGAAGCAACTTGGACATGCTGAGACCAGGAAATGGCAGCCCTCATCTGTTTCTGGATGTGGGAAGACAGAACTCACTTCAAACAGGCTCTTTCCATCAGCAGGGACCCCAATTATTACTCCAATAACAGTGGGTAGATACTCCATTTGTATGTTTCCTTCAGCTGAACATGGCCTTCTTTCCCCCCTAAAAGATCCTGTTTCTCCATTTCCTCTTCTACTATCAACCATGCTGTGTGTTTCATTACAGAGAGCTTTGTGTGACACACTGCTTTGACGAAATCCATCTCACAGAGCTCCTGTAGAATTCCCAGGCCTATATTGCGCACAGCTGGCCTTAACATCACCACCAGCAGCATTTTTGCCATTCCCCACATTCTCTGGTGGCTTCCATTTGAGGTCTGATCCTCCACCTCTTTGGCACTGTCCAGTTTGATTATTTTAGAGGGAAAATGTTCTATGTAGCAGGAACATTGACCGTAAGTTGTCCTAAAGCAGTCCACTCTCAGTCTGCTTGAATACATGGTTTCAACAGAAAGAAAAACAATGGATTAAAATTAAACCATGGCCATCTAACATTAAGAATTTTAGCCCAAATATGTTCTTTACAGGGGGGGGGGCATTTACATAAAAATCCCTGAGTCAATATAGACTTGTTTGTTCCCAGCCTTCTCAAATGCATCATATCTTCCGCTTCACAAAACCTGGGGTGGGATCTAAGTGGAATCAGCGAGGAGATTAGAGGAGAGGCTTTCTTGAATATTGTTCACCAAACATGTAATGTACCGAGTAAAAATGTGTTTTCCACCTTGCAAATTAGTTTGGGGGTAATAGTAAGAAAGGGCCATGCCCTAAATTTATGATCTTCCAATTCTATATCAATCCACGGTTTCCCTCATGGATCTTGAGTCAAAGACACCAAGTTCCTGGCTTGGAATGCAAATGATACGCTTCCAGAGCCTCTTTGTTGCCATTACTATACAATACTCTGCTGCATAACCAAGCTTTATTTTCCCTATGAATGAGTTTACCCAACAATCTCTGTTAAACTTTAAGTCGTTTGGGCATTATAGTTATCAGTAGGACCAGAAATAGAGAAACTTCTGGAGGATTGACATCTGCACAGCTGCAATGCAGCCCAACCAAGGCAGGTTTCAATCCTCCCAGGATTCTCCAGCAATTTTCAAGTGGTTCAGGATGAAGAAAGTTTGGGAA